CACCTGGCCATGCCGGGCACAGTGTTGTATGAGACGTAACGATTATTTCATAGCAATACGTAGTAGGTAAATAAATATATACTGGTTTACACGTAAAATATAAACTCACAAAGTGAATGTGAATAAAATAATAAAATTAATGTGTTGATAAGTAAACATTCTACATATATTGGGACAAAAGTTATTTGGTGATAGTAAACGTGCTATATACATAGTATAACCACAAACAAGTTTCACCTGTGGATACGAATAACAAAACACTCAAATATTATACTCTTCTGTTTTTTTCTTTTCTTTATTGATTTCTTTGACCGGTTTCGTGACTTCAAAGGTCACTCTTTAGGCTATAATTTTACTGAGAATCTATAACAAAAACATTAAATTACCGTTTTTTTTTAAATAAACATAAATAAATTAAATTAAATACATATATTTTCCAAATGTACAAACATATAATACACTCCTTGTAAAAAATGTTCAAAAATGAATAGAATTATATTTATATTCTAATGGGTTTCAGTTTATAGAATTGTTCCATAGTTATATATACGCGAATAATATATATATATACAACTGCTTTTCAGACAACAAAAGCAAAGATAAATAGGCATTGGACATACAAAACTACAAATTAAACGACAGTACACACGCTATAAACTTTACATCTTACAATGAACATAGTTCTTGTGTAATCTTTACCTATCTATCTACTTAAATGTTTTCCAAAATCGAGTGTCTATAAAAGAAGTACACTTTCAGTGGAGAAATGACCTACAGAATTTGTGTCTGTCTGTCTTTAGTTTTGAATCTCGCGTAAAGCTACTCGAGGGATATCCGCGCTAGCCGTCCCTAATTTAGCAGTAATAGACTAGAAGTAAGGAAGCTAGTCAACACCACCCATCGCCAACTCTTAAGCTACTTTTTCACCAATGAATAATGGGAATGACTGTCATATTATAACGCCCCTACGGGTGAAAGGGCGAATAAATTCGATGACAGGGATTCTAACCCGCGACATGCAGATTGCGAGTTGAGTACTTTAACGACCAGGCCATGTCACGCTCGTGTGTTTGTCATCATTCCTGTATAACAAATGTTATCGTTAATACATCAGACTGACAGTACTTGTGCATACTTTCGGTCTCCTGAAGACAGTAGAACATTTTGTCCACCGAAACATGTTAAACGTGTTTATTTTTTGACCTTATACAAGTACAATTATTGTGTATGTGGAAATGTTGGTGTCGTCATTTTATTTTTTATTTGTACTGTGTTAGCGTTAACAATATGTATAAACACCTTCGCATTTGTTACGTATACTTAGTGTGTTGAATAATTCAGTAA